CACAATAGTTCTAGGGGATTATCTAATTTGCTGTTCAGCTCTGATTTTAAGTTTATATACACAGAAAAATCACCTATAAGAGCATTCCAACAAAAAACATGATTAAGGCTTAAACTGTGGGTATCCTTCCTCTTCTGGAAAATGATTAAGTCAACATCAAGAAAGGCAGAATAACAAAACAAGATCAGATTTGAAGTATCCTATAGAAGCTAAACAGCAATTCTTCAGGTCATAGCTTGCAAAAGCCTCCTTTCTGCTATTCAGTTGAAAGATGGTGTCTTCTTTGTTTTTAAAACTTCAGCCAATTCCTATTATTTAGATCATATTGGAGCTTTAAACTTGATATACACAAGATGCATTTGATGACTCATTTACAGTTTACAGCACAAATGACAAGCATTTGAAAAAACTTTCACATGAAAGCTTAAGGAAAACTTTCCAAATGTAACTAAAGGCAGAAAAGTTGAGTGCTGGGTTTTTCTGAAACTACAGTTTGCTAAAGCAGCTTGTCTGTAACAGGAGCAGTCACCAGACTAGACTGGCATACAGGCAGGCTCTGGCTTGCCAGAGTAAGTTGTTCTGACCTTTCTCTGTGCTGCTCTAAATGAATTTATGAATCCATCAGTTCATTAGATGCAGCCAGTTCCACAAGTATGAACATCCAGTCACACAATCAGACATATCCTTCCTCATTTATGTTGGACTGAGTTGTTCTCCCAGTAATAAAAACATCAGGTTACGTTTACATGTCTAAAGGAAAAGTAATCCTTTCTGATTCCCCCGCTCTCTGAATTAGAAAGGTGAATCAACTCATTTTGCAGCCACCCAGTCACTAGATGAGATACAGATAGGAAAGCATCCCTGGCAGTGGTAAAGAGGCAAGACTAAAAGTAAATCATTCTCTGTCACTTACTGGATGTTTTGTCAAACTACATCCTTAATTAGTCATGGAATGGAGACACGGGGTAGCACAGTGTTTGATCCTTCCAGAAGAGGACAGCTGTCTCCTCCCACTTGAATTACTGGACATCAGTCACCTCAACCTTCTCCATACAACTTTCCCTCACCATCAAATACATCTTTTAAATGAAAATTAGTAGTTCCTATCAAAAATAATTCTAATAGTAAATGGTATCATCAAATATGTGCATTGCAACAGCATGGGAGTAAGGATATAGCTCACAGTTTAACCATTCCTGTGATAATGTGTGAGAAGACTTCCAAGAACACCTCTGAAAAGACTGTTGACAATCTTGCTTAGGGCACAGACCCATTTTCCTTTAGCAATTCCAGAGCGAATTCATTTGCCACAGCTTGGAAGAGCAAAGAGAAGAGACAAAACTGTGACAATTTATAGCTACAGGATGCTGGACATTCACACACAGAAATCTGAAGAAGACTGAACTGCAAGTGAACTCCTGTCTCTCCTGCATGTAAAAACTGAAATCTTTCCAGTATTTGAAGTGCTTAGTTACTAGTACCTATTTTCTTGGAGGAGAAAGCACAGATCCTGTGGGCAAACAACTGGTTGCACAACTGGCATCAGAAGCTGACACTCACCTTTTACATACATGGGAGTGGCTTCCCTAATCAAGGACTGATTTCTAGAAAAAGGTGGCACGCAAGGGACCAACCAGCCAGTTGGCAAAGATGCCTTTGTTCTGACCAACACAGCAAGGCATCAGCAATCCAGGAAGTTTCTAGAGTGCTTTTGCTTTTTATAACTTCTTAACATGGGTGACTGAGTACCTACCAAGTGCACCAGCTGGGCCTCATACTTAGAAATGAGGAGACTGAGATGGGAAAGTCAGGGGTAGCCTTTGCTGTAGGGACTATGAGAGGCAGATCCTGTGAAAAAAGAGCAAGGCAAAAAGCAGGATTATGAGATCAGAATTCAGGAGAGCAGATTTTGGCCTCCTGAGGAGAATCCCAAGCAGAGAAGAGTGGACAGGCGAGATGGTGGATTTTTCAAGGATCACCCATGCCAACCTGAAGACTGGCCACAGCAATGTGCAGGAAGCTGGGCAAAGGTAACAGGACAAGACTTTCCCTCAGCCGACTTTTGTGAACACTGAAACGGGATATTGCCAGGCTGCTGGGCCCTGATGGGTGTTAAAGGAGCTGGCTAATGACATTTTAAGGCCTCTCCTGGCAATTTTTGGAAGGTTGTGGTGATTTGGGATGTTCCTAATGTCTAGAAAAGGGCAAATATCCCTTCCATTTTAAAGGGAGGCAAAGGACCTACAAAGCTGGTCAGCCCTACCCTGCTCCCTGCAAAACCTTTCTGTGTATGTAGATTGGATGAAGGTGACTGGGAACAGTCAGCATGGATTTATGAAGAAGAAATATGCTTGAGCAGCCTCATAGCCTTTTATAGTGACTTGTTCAGTGGATGAGGAGAGCACACTATTGTGCTCAGTGGACAGACTGTTTATTGTGGCTTTAACAAAGCTTCTGACAGCTTTGTTCTTGTAACAGCCTTCTCTTATCACAGCCTCACTGACAAACTAAGGAAGTAGGGGAAATGTTAGAGGGCAGAGATGGACTGAAACCTGACTGAACTGCTGCACTCAAAGGTGATTAGTAGCTTGAAGTCCAGTCAAAGGTCAATCAGTATCTGTGTACTCCAGGGACTGACACGAGGGAATGCACTTCTTAACATCTTCATAATGATCTAGGTAACAGAACAGAGTCCACCCTCAGCAAGTTTGCAGAAGATGCTCACCTGGGAGGAGAACACCAGACAGGTGCACTCTCATTCAGAGAGACCCTGGTCAGGGTAGAGCAATGGGCCAACAGGTACCTCAGCAAATTCAACAGAGGGAAATGCCAATCCTGCAGCTGCAGAGGTTTAATACCAATCATCAGTACTGGCTGGTGGCTGAACACCTGGAAAGCAACTCTGCAGTGAAGGACACTGGAGTTCTGGTGAACACCAATCTGATCATGAGGCACCAATGTGCATTTGCAGCACAGAAGGCCAACAGCTTCCTGGGCTGCATTAGGAAAAGCACTGCCAGCAGGTCAAGGGAAGGGATCCTTCTCTACTCACACATCTGGGGTGCTGGGCTCAGTTCTGGGCTCCCCCATATAAGACAGACAATACTGGAGAAAGGGCTGAGAGATCTTGGACTGTGTAACCTAGAGAGGAGAAGGCTTGGGAAGATCTTAGCCATGTGTCTAAATATCTGATGGGAAGGAAAAAAGGGAACAGAAATTGATTTCTCATTGGTATGCAGTGACAAAACAAGAGATAATGGGCACAAAATAGAATACAAGAAATGTTGCTTAAACATAAGATAAAGAAACTTTCTTACAATAAGGGTATTCAAACACTGGCCCAGAGAATATGTAAAGTCTCCATCTCCTTAGAGACATTAAAAACCCAGCTGGACATGGCTGTGAAATGACACAGCTCTGTGTAGGGATCTTCAAAGGCCCCTTCCAAATGGAATGACTCTGTGATTATATTTGGTAGAAAAAAAGTAAAGACCTGTTAATTTGATTCTTGGATACAGAACAACTGTTCAATTAATAGATTTAATCTGTTCTAAGGCATTGCAGCATGCATTACATACATTCATAGTTGGTTCATTTGATGCAGGTGGTCAAGAAAGTAAATTGAACATAGGAAGGCAGATCCTAAATATTCATGCTAATAGCTACACAAACATTAAGGAAACATGACAGATCTGGAGCTAATTCTGGAATGTTTGTACAGTTTGTAGGAAAAGTTGAACCTAAGTCTACCCACCAAGTCTGAGCCATGTTAACTAGCTAACAACCATTTTGTATTTATGTGAAGTACAATAAAAACCCATTTCAGAAGTCTCTGGATAACTTCTCGGTTGAGTGCCACAATCATGTTTGTTCAACTGGACATGCCTCCTCTACAGCTCAAGTTGAACCAAGAGAAAAGGAATGACACATCCAGCAAAAAGAACTCACAGGAATATACTATATTAAAAAAGTAATATCCTTGTCTTATGTGCTAACTCCTCTACTTAAAAAAAACACCCCATCATATTGGCATAAATAAGTGATATATTTAAATTCCATTTTAAAAAAGCTTAATTTAAAGGGAATTCACTTGATTGAAGCTAAAATAAAGTCCCATGGAAATGCCAGGTTGTTTTTTTTTTTTAGCGCAGGAAAGTCTTGCATTAACTTTTATTCCTAAGCTAATGAAAACCACATCAGGTTATCAGAAAATGAAAACTGACCTCCTAAACGTTCCTGTTAGTAATCAGATAATCCTCATGACTTAATGAAACAGTTACCAATCAATTGCTCATTTAATCATTTGTATTACCATAAAAACCTAATCTCTCAGCATGTCTCTCTGCCATTTCCGTCTCTCTTTAATCACCGATGAAGCATGAACCTCTCACCTTCACAGGCAAGTTTCTTGTTATGCACCCAGATGACTGGGTCAGGATCAGTGAATGCTGTAGGTGAATGTGCTATCCGTGGGCATGTGAAAGTCATCTTTCACACACTAATCTCAACAATTGGTGGTAATAAAACCTAACTCCAAAACTGATAAACAAGACCAATGTTATGGGCAGATCAGTTCTCACAGATTAGTAGAATAAGAAGTATCCCTTAAGCTGCTTAATTCTATATCACTATTTTATAATCTTAAGGGATCTTCCATTTGCTGTAACTTTCTGTATGTAACTCCATCCAGCAATTGCCTGTAGCAATGGTGACTACCAAAAATTAAGGACTAGACTGGTATTGACAAGGACAGATTTGGTATCTGCCTATAAAAGGAGACTGGCACTATCTCTGGTTGCTCTAACAGTGAGTAGTACACCACTGAAGTCCTATAGACCTGTAGCCTGATTACAGTATCAGCACACTGTGTGGTTGACAATGACACAAGAGACCCTGCATACAGCTTAAGGCAGTCACACCAAACATCAGTGCTTGAACTGATGGGTAAGACCCTTCTGTTTCCATTTAAATAGAAAAGCAAAACCTTCATGGTCACATACCTCATTGCAACATTGCTGCCATCAATAACTATTGGCCTCAGGTTGTCTCCATCCTCTGTCACATCCTCCTGCAGTGGAGACTCTGACCTCTGAGACTCTATGGAAGACGCTTCACGCATTACACTAGTGTTAGCATTAGTTACAGTCTGATCAGTCTCAGTTTTATTCCCAAGTTTGACAAGTTCTCCCAAAATATCATTTATTAAAGCATCAGTACCAAGTTTATTTAGTACAAGTTGAACCTGCTCTTCAGAGTAACCCAACTTAAGTGCAAACTCCAGTTTGGTTTGATATTCTTTCACCACATCAGGAGGCTTTTTGACTTCCTTAGGTACTAACTGAGCCTCTTCTATCCTAAAGTCTTGCAAGATTTCATTTCTTTTTAATATATGAGGCTCTAAGCAAGGAGATCGGCACAGCTGTCGGTGAGTCTTAGGCAATAAATGTGACTCCGATGCAGAATTATTCAGTCTCTCTGAATCATTATCAGAATTTGTGCTTTCTTCAGAGTCACAGCTGGAGCTTCCAGAAGTCTCTTCAGATGCCTCCTTTTCTCTGTCTTCTTTCCTAGAATTAACCTTATCCATCGTTGGCTTCTCCGCCATCGACCAAGGTACAATTGCATTTATTTGTGTGCCAGTGCTCCCCATATAAAGGTGGCCTAAGTCATGCCCCAGATGATCCTTCAAGCCCATGAAGCTGCTGCATGTACTTGACTCCACTTTGCTGTTTTTCTTGTATTCCTGAATATAAAGTGTTCCGTATTCCTAAAGAGAAAACAAAAATGTTGCAACTGGTTACACGCATTACTTGTTTTCCATTTTCTTCCTGCTTCCTCAGAACTGCATTTATTCTCTTGCAGCAGAGAAATAGAACTTTACTTTTTTTAAACATGGAAGGCTTTTTGTGGGAAAAACTCTTCCTAAGGAATATCTGTAAATAAGTGGATGGATAACTAGCCACCTGTCTTCTGAATGTATCAAATGTTACTTATACGTGTCTAGAAATGGATTTATGAAAGAATAAAAAACAAAAGACTCCAAGTTCACCTACTGTAATGCAAAGACAGGAGTACAGTCATTATTTTAAAAAAATGAGATATTTCTTCTAGCATAAGGCTATGTTGTAACAATGAAAAAACAAAGTGACTATAAAATACATTAGAAAAGGTTTTCAAACCACATACCTTGCATTATGTTGAACAGAAAGAAATTAGCATAGTGCTAAATTCTCTGGCTTAGTAACAGAAAACATGATTAAATAACAACTTATTGGCCCTGAAAGACACTATCAGTTCAACTGAATACACTCAAACTATTTCTGAATTCCCTTATAAAGTGCTAATTAAATCAAGAAAGACTAATTGCTCTCAACAGTGTTGTATTACTAACACATACAGCATTTAGGGACATGGATTGATCTAATGGCCAATAAAGCCAATGCAAGTCTTTGCACCAATTACAACAGACCATTCATTAAGCCAACAAGTCAACAAAATTAAAAGCTGATTTCAGCTCCTGCACTAGATTTGTGCAAGCCTGTCGATAAATCAAAACCATTCATGTACAGATATGAGCCACTTAAGAAGAATAGAAGAAAAATTATGCAGTTTTCTGGACTTCATATACTTGCCATATAGGATTTTCTTGAGGAATTTTGCATAGCAGTAGCTATACAGAAGTTAGTTACCCATTTCATCACAATACTTCATCACATTACTTCAACAACCTACATTTAAAGGCAGATTGCTACCTCTTTCCCTTACTTTGTTCTTTTAAGAAGGAATCTTTGCTAACTGCCTCAATAAAGGAAATAAAACATAATTTATTTCTCATAAATAAAAATGGACCATATGGACCACTTGTACTGCAAGGTTACCATGAAAAAAAAAAGAATTTAAATTAAGGAAAGACTACAACACAAAGAGTTCTTTCACATTTCCATCTTGTAAGGCAGAATATAAAGCAAGATATAGAGACAAAGGACTTCACTTGAATTTAAAATTTCTGTAAGCAATTCCATCAATTCTCCCATCCCCTTACAGGTGAGCATTTAAGATTGACACAATGTCTTTAAAATAAAGTGTACTTTCCTCTTCTTGCAATAAAGATTTGAGAGTATGCACTAGAGAAATTCATCCAGGTTTAAGATTAGAGAGAATCAAACAATCAATCTAATCCAAGGTTCAGTAAAAGTAGATTCTACAGGACGGGAGGGCCAAGACATCACCATTGTGGTAGAGCATTCTGGTTATGGGGCACAGAAATCTTACTTTAACCTAAACATTTCTAGCTAACATAAATAAATCTTATCTATCATCAGTGCTTTCATCTCCAACACCTTAATCCCAGCAAGACTGATAGGGAAGAAAACAAAGTTTTATTAAGGTCTTATCTTGCTAGAAGGCAGTAGGGCTGTAATTCTCAGACAGTGTATTAATGAATATTGCCTTCTCTTAATGCAAAGCTTTAGGATTTCAAGCACCCCACAGATTAAACACAACAAGAATTTAGGAAATGGACCTTTTCACACAGTGCTTTATTAACTAATGTAATACACTTGATAGCACAGAGGTAGTAACAAACCACAATATTCCAATAAAAAGATACAGTTAAAAAAACAACACTGTGGCCTTCACAGAACTGACACACACACACACACAAAAATTAAAACAAATCGCAAACAAGCTGCCCCTATTGGAAGCCAGGCTGCTTAGCAACCAGCCTCTAGTTGCTAGGATGCGCTCCTTTAACATACCATCATGAATACTAGCACAGCCAAAGAATAATTTGGTATGAACAAAAGCCCATGAAAGAGAGCGGGACTTAAGTGCGTCTGGTTTCCCCTCAGAGAACAATGCAGCTGCCAAACCAATCTGGAAGCCCCGACATCATTGTTCCACCAACCCCACAATCTGCTCTGACTCGAGGAAGTCTAGTTAATGGGCAATACTTTTAAGCTGGACTGAAAAGTTGAGCTGGCTCATGTACCGCTGCTGCAGAATACAGGGAGATAATGGGTCACTGCCTAAATCCGTGTACTGTGAAATGTCATTTTAGTATTGAACTAAAAGCGAAGGGAGTGTTTTTTTGGAAGTGGGGGAAGAAGAGTTTGCATATTAACAGCATCAAATACTGAAAGCCTGAAGTGCATAGATTAGAAAGAGGATTTTTTTTTTGTGTTAGTTAAAATAATACTTAAGTCATTTTCCAACCACTTCTTTCTTGAAGTTTAAGTGCTTTACAGCAACTACAATCATAACACCCTCCAGTGGGATTCAAAGAAGTCACTAGCATATGAATGCTGAAGATCAGGCATTATATGAAACTTATTTTAGGTGATTTGCACATCAACTGCATATGAAAAATGACCATAGCCTGAGCTTGGTCCATTGTTAGGAATATATGCATAATCAGTCTCACATCTATCTACTTTAATTCTCCTGTCAATCTCCATCATGCTCCAATATATAATTGCTTGTTTTGCAAAGAACTCTACTGTTTTTCAGAAACTATTTAACGAACAGAATAATGAAAGTAGCCGCTTTAACATCTCCCAGACAATATACAGTCATTATACTATTGCTTTAAAAGGGTAGTTAAAATTGTATTTGTACTGTAAATCCAAAGCTAAATATTTCTGAAGTAGTTTTGCATAAGCAGTACACTATTCCTGGCATTTGGCCTAAACCCTGCATGCAAATTGCATTTGTTTTCAGACAAAATTTACAGTGCCTGGGAACTTTGTATATCGTACTTGTGGTCAGTAGCATGTCTTAGAAACATTACACTTTGGAGACCACATCATGATGTCCTTTATGAGATTCATTGACTAGAACCATGAAAATCAGATGTCACTGTTGAATGCTGCTGATTATTTTGTCTTGGTTTGGTTAGTGAAGAGCAACATGCCAGGCAGTCAATCTGAATGAATTTTTATTCCAAATAAACACTAGTGTACCTATATACAGGACAATGAAGCTCATGAAAACCAGAAAATGTCACATTTATCTAAGGAGCAACATCAGCTAAGAACTCCTTTATTTACACGGAGCTTTTATCACACACACATGGTTTTAAAGTGTGTTGACTGATACAATGCAATATGGCTAAGAAAAATATCTACTATCAATTCTGACTCAAATGAGAGATAAACAAACAAAAATAATCTAAAAAATCCCAGTCATGAAAGTCTTCACCTTTTGGTTATGCTCACCACAGCTCAGTAAAATAATTTGTATTTATGAAAAAGTTAATAAAACGGGTAACTCCCAATTTAGAATAACTATGATAAGTTTTAAACTGTAGCCTGTTTGAAACTACAGTATCTCATACTGTGTTCACTGTTAAGGGCTTAAAGTACTGTACATACATTTATCAAGCATAAATATAATAATGCAGATGAGCACTTCATTGCAGAAGTATCATCTTTTACCATTTCTTAGAAGTTGCCACTATTTTCCACTAACCTTTAACAACAATCAGCCCATCGGTTCACCTCCACACAAAATAGAAATATTTCTCAAATGGATGTGGGCACGTAGATCACCTAATCTTTTACTGTGTATTCAGAATATTTCCCACTTAAAACTGAGCATAAAAGAAGTAATTTAATGCAAATTTAGTTCACAGAGGAAAATAACAGAGTAAAGTAGTGTCATGTGGCACATTATAACAGAAAATGTGTATTCTCAAAAGACCATCAACAAGTTTTTGAAGATACACTCTACAAGGAAATAGCTCAACATGTTTTCACACAGGTAGACTTTTTCTAAGTCTTCTAAACACAAAATGGAAAATATTGAAATAATTTTGTTGAAACACTCACTGCTTGTCACAAACAGAAGTGCAGAGCTGATCAGAAAAGAAACAAAAAAGAACGTATCCGTTATCCAAATGATAAAGATACTGCAACAATGCAAATAAAATAATGAATATGTAATAAATACCTACTGCTGTAGTTTCTATGTATTTAATTACCATTGTATTTGAGCGAGTGCTGTTGTCTGCATCATTCTATCCAACAAAGGAGGGATGTCCCATTGAACAGATTGGTTAATGCTCTGGGGCAACAGATGTCTACTGGAACTGCAGGAGACCAGCAACTGGTGGCCTGCCCATCTTCTGAAAACTTTCAATAGACTCATGCATATGTTCACACAATAGGGCATGTGGTAGAAATGCAAACCTCTTTTTAACCCTTTTATATGCTCTCTTTCCCTCTCAACTGATATTTGAAGGTCTTTGTTTTGGACTTTTTTTTTTTTTTTTACAGGATCCTTGGAACACAGGCTCATGGAGTGCACAGTGTTTGTTCTTCAGCCTAACATCTGAACTCAAAACACAAAACAGATTAGAAACTTTATAAAAACAGCCAGGTAGATCTGACACACCGATAACTTGAGTTTTCAAAACTCAAAACCTTTGACTGTAACACATTCCTATCTGAGAGCACCCTAATGCTCAATCTTACACTACAGTATCTTCAGATAGCCCATAATGGAGCTCTTCCTATTTCCACAAAAATGGTAAATTTCACCCATGGTGCAGTATAATGGAAAAGGTGTCTAATTTTGTTTTTCTTTAAGAATTTTTTCTACTAGTCACTATTTAAATAACAGCTTATTTGCAAAAAAAAAAGGGTAAACACCTGTAACTTAGAAGTTGAAACTTCTCCTTCTCCCCAGTGGGCTAGAGAATTCGTTCTGTTGATGGCTACTCCCTACCACTTCCAAATTCTGGGAAAGACACCATTACTGATGCTTTCA